GCCGCGCGCATCCTCGGACGCACGTTCGTACACATACCCGCTACGTTTTTGCAGAAACAGATTACGGTATGGTCCACTTTGTGCAATCACGACGCTTCAATTGTCGTAGCTCTGCAGAATCGCCTTCACTTTACTCACCTGGTTTGCTAGATCGACGTTGGCACCGCAATGGCAAAGTGTTTGAACGGCTGTGAGTAAACCGAGTCGAGCGGCAACATGCAGAGGCGTGTTGGCATGCTGAAATAGAAATCCCATCCGAATGGTGATGGACGGCTGACATTTCCTGGTCACAGCTACCGTATAACTCGAAAACCACCCGTATGTTGGCAATGAATCTTGCGAATGCTAAGTAATCATTCATGAAAAACAGTGATGTTGTAGAGCCCATTACTGAGCTCACCCAGGGTGAGTTGGATTGTTGAGTTGAATTCATATTGGCCAGCTCCAGAAAAAATAGCTAAGTCCTCATATGAGACATATGTAGATGGAAGCAGGTCCCTTCATCCAATGAACTTCAACTTTCCCTCAAAAAACTTAGTGAGGGGAATAGGTCCACTTTGAAGAAAAGGCGTCGATAGTTCAAAGACTACGCCCCGACATCATAATACCCTATCTTGAACGGTTCATAGCAAGTCTCCAACCGGTTTTAAGCCAGTACGACCAAATAGACATCGAAGAAGAGCAAAAATCAAGGTTCGGCTAGGATAAAGATCAAGTTTCCATCGCAGCTAAGTCCCTGTCCTAAAAAGAACCCGCTGATTTCGAAACTCTCGTTCCCTATCGATAAGCATCGAGCGGAGGAGGCTGGCTCCGCTCTTCGTATAAAGACCCATTAGAAATGAAATACGTCCCCTTTTACTTAATTCGAAGAAAAACCTCAGCAATTCACATCAGCGAATTCATTGCAATAATAATGGGAGGATCACTTTCTTTCGACTCATTGCCGTTGTTCCCATCTCAATCAATGGTAATTATGCAAGGTAACGGGGTGTGTCGTTAAGTCAGCGTGCGAATATGTCGCGTGCGGCTGCCGCAAATGTCATCGGCGAGAGATTGTCGTGCGACAAACTCTTCCATGAAAACAAGGTGGGCAATGCTTTGTTTCTAATCTATTTATGCGACGTTATGATCCGGCACCTAACGGCCCTAGCGGCTGCGTGCAATTTTAATTAATTTCAGCAGGTGTGGGATACGGTATAGCAATTTCATAATGCACGTCGCGTTTTTTCGTCTCATGACCCGCCCTCTTGACAGCAGCCAGTAAAGCTAGTAGTTAGCGAAACTAGTTTCGAACCTGATTTCCAATGATTACTGTCAAGTTCTTACTTTATGATTTAAGGATTAGGATCAGACTAACACTTCGATACTTGGAACCGAAGTCGATGAAGGGTATTTTGCTGGCTAACGGGGAATCATTCCTCTTTTTAGCCTATCAAAACCTATTCCAATTTCTGCTTAGTCGAGGTTTCGTAGTGAGGTAATCAATTCGGTAGCATCGATTGTTTAAATGGGCCAGGAGAGGTAAGAGTCTGGTTAAACTTTAATAAAACCTGAATGACCATTTTTTAAACCATCTTAGGGATCCTTACTCGGATGGCGTGAAATGCGAAATCTGAAACCCACATCGTCGGGTTCATTGATCTTGCTGCCTTTGTGGATGAGGAGCAAAGCGATATCCAGGTGGCCGTTCTCCAAAGCGCATAGCAACGGCGTTCGATGATGCTGAAACCCAGCTATGAATTAGTGAACGAGTAGTTCTATCGGGATTTTGCTTACAGAACCTTTCTTAAAAAAAGTTTATGAACAAATAATTGAATAAATCATGTTTAGGAGAAAAAAAATCAAAAACATCCGAGGTTGTTGGAAATTTTGCTAGGAGTCATGAATACAGAGAAAGAGAAAAACAGACAAAAAACTGAATAAACAAAGCTCAAAGCCAAGGTTAGGATGAATGCAATCTGACACGTCCAATATTATCAAGGACTTTGCTCAAAATCTTCACTACAAAAGCCTTTTAGAGATCAGAGATTGAGGTTCAATAAAGGAAAAAATCTATGGCATCCTACACTGTACTACTTACATTCTGGGTAATACAATTTTATACCACACCGGAAGAAGAATCCCGAACCAAAAGTCTGCCCACTATGCAAAAGCCACGCCCAGCTAATGAAAAGCGGCCGATAATCAATCGTATCAACTTCTCAATCTATCACATTTTAGGTTCCTACTATTCTGTATCTCTCAAATGAGTAGGAGAAGGATTATCAGATATCAGAATATCAGCACAAAGAGCACGTCTGGGTACTTATACTAACAACGGATAGAACCTATTCTCAGGTCATATTGATTGGAAGCTCGATAATTTGATACCATTGTGTGATATGTGATGATACAATAACGGTAGTTTATGGTAATAGCTCGTAATCAACAGTAATTAAAAACGAATAGTAAAACTGAATGCAAATGGTACATACTACAAAAAACATCCGATCTTTTTTCTCAGATTACGAGGATATCTTCTTCAGGAATATATTTAATAAGGGATAGTCGATATATCGATTTTCGAACATCAAGCAGAATGGGCAACTTGGGAAGGATGCGCCCATGGCATGATGCAATAACTAGTTCTTTGGAACTTGTTTTAATTTCAAAACGTTCACATTGAGGCCTACGCCCAATCGATATATCGATTCCCAATGTGTTACTGTAGATCCGAGCATGCTGCGATACTCGAATCACAGACTTTAGGAAGAGGTAAAATCTTGAATCTTTTAATAACAAATTGCTTATATTGATGTTAGAGAAAATTGTTTGGATTTGGACACTCCAAGACCAATTCAGTAAACAGTAAACAATAAACAGATCAATATCTATCCGAGATGATTGGGATCGGTAGTGGCAGACAGTAACAAAAAAAACTTTTTTGGTAGAAGAATAACTTACGTTATCGAAATCATCTACAGACGAACCAGCATCGAGTAAAGTCTGTACACATTCGAGATGTCCTCGGGCAGCTGCGCAATGTAATGCGGTCTCCTCGTCCTGAACATGTAACAGACAGTCGACAGTGGGTTGGAATGCCACTGTTACGGGCAGTTGATTCATGAATACCATACACAGACAGATGATGTGAGCACACCCACAGACACAAATACAGGCTATAGTGCAGCACTGTCAGACGGG